GTGGGGCTGGGGGAAATCAGTTCATCACTGCCTACTCAAGGCACGCATTATATATATCGACTGAATGAACGAATTACAGATTATGAAATGAAATTCACAAAACTCAGTGACCAATTGGATATGAAGAGGGAGATGGAGGAATGAATCTCGAGAGACTTCCAGGTTTTTTTGGCCTAATGAGTTGGGCGAGTGAGAGATCCATTGGCCAGAATGAGGGCTCCTAGAGGAGGGACAGTTTGGGGAAAGATGGCCAGAGAAGGCAGTGCAGAAACCAGAACTGCAGCCATGCTTCCTCTTCAGGTCGTGCTTTATCAGGGATCAGATCTTGACGGTGGTGTTCTCTATAAATGGCAGGGGGAGCTCTGGGGCACAAGTAATTGCATGTCATGGCTGAACCATAACTGAAATGTTAGCGTTTTCATTTTTCTGGCCAGGGAATGGAAATTTCCTTTTCAGACTAACCTTTCAGAACAAGACTGTAGATGCTTTCTTTTGTTTCTCTCCATTTCCACCCCTTCCCATGTCCTTGAGCAACGCTTTTTTCCCTGTCTCCCTAAAAAGTCCAAGAATGCAGAAGCCCTCAGGATCCTAAAAGCTACACATCACACCAATGACAGCATCCACAGCAGGTCTCCTCCGGATTAGCAGCCACTAGACAGATGTTCATCTCTAATGTGGGTGGAGCATCCTTTTTCTCTTGGGTGTAAAGGTGAAAAACACACTCAGTGGGCTCTGGGATCAGGCTCACACTTGTCGCTTCCTAGTTTGTGACCTGGGACAAATGATTAGTTTCAGTGTGAGGTGGTTTTCTTACATTTAAAGTGAAGATAATAGTGGCTCCCACCTCAGGGTTGTTTTAGAAATAAATCAATCTATTCAGTGTACTGCCTGGCATAAAGTAAGTCCTAGGTAAATGCTTGCTATTGATATTAGGCATTTCTCATTCATTTCTCCTTGTCCACCATTTATTCATTCAACAAATAGTTATTGAGCCTCCTGTGTGCTGGATGCTAGGCACACAAGGTAGAATACACAGGTATTATCCCTAGCCTCAAAGTGGATTCATTTCAGGGGGACCAGAGCAGCATGCAAGCCAGTGCAAAGCCTCGTGTGTGTTCTAATACAGCTGGTACTAAGCAGAGCAGACACAAGTGCTTACATCTCTAGGAGGAGGGACAGTGTCAGAAAAAGCTGCAAAGAGGAAGTCACTTTTGTTGAACAAACTGAAGCATTTTAAAAGTTTATTTGAGCAAAAGTCACTTGGAATCGGGCAGCACCGAACCAGAGGTGGTTAGGAGCACTTCACTGTCAGAAGCTCGGGGAGAGACTTAAAGACAAAAGACAGAAATAAGAAAGTTATTGATTAGCTTTAGTGTAAAGACTAGTTGGCTGCTCGCGATTGGTTGTCTTTAGCGTTTTGATTTCCCAACTTCAAGGCATTTACAGGCTTAGGTTTTTGTTTGCTTACTATATAGGCCTCCATGGCATTTGAGCCACGTCATGGCATTTGAGCCACATCAGTCCAATGGCCTTCTTTAACTTAACAATTCCTCCCTTTTGGTCATCCTCTTATACATGCTTGATTGCCTAGAGATTTGATATCAGTGCTACTTTCAGTTATCATCCGAGCTAAGTTGCTCTCGTTAATGTAGGGGGGAGGCGAGAGAACCAAAATGTTAAATCAAGCTATATTCAGAGCCTGCAATGTGCCAGTGAGCCCTATGGCCAGACCAAGAGGAAACCTAGAGAACAAAGG